CACTCCAAACCAGACTGACAATCATACTAACACCTTTGACATCTTGTAATATTATTTCATGAAATATACCTTCGTTATTTCTACTCTTGTCTTCGTGTTGTTCTTCCTTGGTCCTAACCTGGACCATAACACACGGAAATGTCTCAGATAAAGTGTGACAGGATTTCAACAATATCGGATCATCTCAATGAAATTGGTAAGATGAATAAACTCGATAAATTCGTTCCACATGAACTCGGTGAAAGTCAACAATTTTGAAGTGTGCTAGGTGACATTTTAGAAGAAAAAACGTGCGACTTATATGCCCTCAAACTCGGTACGCGCAAGTATGTGTTATCAGGTAACCTGGTAACGGAAAAAATGCTCAGGGAGATTTATATCCATGCCTTTAAGTCATTTCGCTTCATTTCATCATCTAAATTCTAGAATATATATTAGAAAATATTTAGGCTTTCTTTCAACATTTCACCCTGAGTAAGACAATAAAAACACTAAGGAGTATCTTACAATTTTAAACATAAACATCGCGTCATTGGTTAGTAAGTTAATGCTCTATTAAATTTGTTAGCGAAGAGATTTCGCCACTAATTACATTAACTTTACCGATTAATTCTTATATATATATATATATACGTATGTTTGGGGTGCGACTTAAGTTTCGTTGTTTTAGCAATTCATCAGTCACGAAATATAACTTATGATTTTGAAAACTCATGAGTAATTTTTTGTGTCTGATAAGTTGGTAAAACAACGAAACTTAAGTCGCCCCCCCCCAAACGTAGGTATAAGTATATTTATTAATATATATATTTCTTAGCTCTGTCTAACCATATTGAGCACTGTTAAGCTTCACCTTATAGTAAATTTAGTAAATATTTATTTGCTTACTTGTGTATGCACGCTAATGCGCGCATATACGGTTGGTAATACCTAGTTATTTGATTGTCCCACCTCTCTCTCTCTCTCTCTCTCTCTCGATATATATATATATATATATATATACATATGGTAAAAATGGAGTTTAAGTTTGGCTATATTTATGGATAAAAGTGTTCGATATCAGGGACAGAGTGCATATATAAAGAAACTGACGTCAAAACCCAGAAAAAAATTATAATAAAATAACAAAGAAACAAAAAATAAAAATAAACAAATTAATTAAGTAATAGAAATTAACAAACTACGAATACACGTATAGCATAGATAGAGATAGAGGGTGAGAGGGGAGAGACAGGGAGGGGAGAGAGAGAAAAGAGCGAGAATGAGAGAGGGTGAGGGAGAGAAAGAGATGGAACAAAAGGAAAAGAGAGAGGGGAGAGAGAAAGAGTCTATTTTATGTCATTCGATGAAATCATGAATAGTTTTCAAATTCTTCGAAAGTTATCTCACTTGAAAAATATTTTTTAAACTATCCTACCATTTGCTAAATATTCAGAATTTCATTTCCAGGTAATATGATAGACCAAATTCTTTATTTTATTTTGTTTTATTTTGACTATGCTATGATATGGTTTACATTCCAATGTTACCTTATTATAAAGTTTAATATGGAGAGCTCTTCAAAAATATTTCAACATTTATAATTTTATATATTTACTTGGTAGAAAAGAAGCATCAGTATAAAATTATATTTTATATTGTTTTATTAAAACCAGTTATTGAAACATTCAGAGACGAAGAAAAAGCCTGCTTTTATTATATAATTTCCTTCTATTTAATGAGATTGCAAAATAGACGTAGTTTTCCATATCTCTTGTCGCCTTCAGAGATATTATATATGCTTATGTTAAACGGCGAAGGGCTGCAAAATTTGCATGAATTTAATATTAAAATACCAGTCGGTGAAAGAGACACGGTTGGGTGATGTTATCATATTAGAAGACTGCTTGCTCCTCTGTTAGTACGTTGTTTTTTTTTAGCTAACTCGTACATTATGCTCTGTCATTTCGTCACGTAAATAATGGACTGCTTCGTTTTGATTTCTCTGAAAAAAAAAATATATATTAGTGACGCTCGTTTGTTCTAGTGATAAAAAGAAGGTATATATAACAAGAAAGAAAGAAAGAAAGAAAGAAAGAAAGATTGATTGGTTGAGTTGTTTGTTTAACGGCATATCAACTACTTATGGGTCGTTTAATGCTAGAATTTAAATTTCTTGAGAGATTTGATGTAATAAAAATATGTTATGTGTTATTCTGCCTTCACAATTAAATACATCATATACTCAACTTTTGTGAAGTGAGACATGTTTGTACGGACATGATTACTAGAGGCGGTGATATGTGTGTTTTATGTTGTAGTTTTGTTAAAGTTATATTTTGGAATACAGTTTGATTTCTTTAAGAAATTGTAGGATATTCTATGGACTAATATCATGAAAGAGGTCTTTCATGACAGTTGTTTGGTTGGTTGATTTTATTTAGCGATATCTTAAATCTCTCTGGGTTATTTAATGCCAAAATCTAAATATTTTGTATGTAATTTTATGTTTTCAATTACAGATATTTTGCACATAATGTTGTGGATTCCGGGATGAAATCCGGTACCAATAAATAACAAACGCCAAGAATGAATATAGGAAAATAATGTATTAACGTAATAATACAAACTGGTAATGCAGGTTAGTAGTTCCAGGAATACGGGTTAGTAGCAAAATATATATATACAGTCTTTGGTATTGAAGTATCACTTTATGACTTCTTACTGAGTCTACATGCTCGCTCACTGTGACTCCTACAACGCTGTTACCTCACCCCTCACTCTTCCGGTTACCTATAACCTTTTACTCTGTCACTCTGGACTCGATTCTTCGGTCTTGCTCTCTCGGGTCTTCACGTAGCCGTAGTATATGTATATACTGGGTGAGTCCATTTGTGTAAAAAGGGGTGGTCCGCTCAACACATAATTTTATACTTTCAGGATGAAAGTGTTTTTTTTAGATATATATTTTGCAGATTATGAAATCTCAATTTATAAAAGGCAGGATGTGTGTGTGTGTGTGTGTGTGTGTGTGTGTGTGTGTGTGTGTGTGTGTGTGTGTAACGAATGCACGGCCGCAATTTTCGAAGGATTTGCACCAAAATTTACATGCACATGCTCCAAGTTAGCAGGAAGGCCAAGGCCGACTTTGCATTTCCCAAATCCCATCAATAGTGCAAATAATCGATTTTTCATGCTTCTACGGCAGTTTTCATGTAGTTTGCGGCCATTTTCTACTAGCCAGAGTGAGAGCCTATAGCTGGCTGCCACGAATAGGGAGGAAGATTCTATTGGCCAGCGTGAGAGCCAACAGCTGACTGACACGAATGTTAACTAGCATGCTAGCATGCAAAAAAAATCGACAACTGCATTCGTCACAAGTGGGAAAAATTTAAATCTGCATAGCACTTTACTCCAACTGGCTCATTCGCTTGCTTAAACTCAACGTTGATTCTGATTCCACAGAACTGGGTTGGGTGTGAAAAAGTATTTGTTGTTAACATTTTTTTCATTCGGTTTTTCCAGTTACGAGTCCTTTTTTTAAAGCTGATCGTTTTGTGTTCATTTTGTTTAGTTCTTTTTTCGTAACAGATTTAATGTTTAGTATAGAGCTTAGAAAAAATTCGCACTGTGAGATAGGCAAGAAGTAAGGCATGTAGCAACATCAGCACTGCAAAGGGCACTCTTTTAAAGGCAAGGAAGGACAAAGATATTTTAAGTCTCGTGATATCGATTGCTGTATGAGTCGTGCGATTTTTGAATCAAGCACGGGCAACGCCGGGCCATGCTGCTAGTATATTGTAAATGTCAAAACAACTCAGACACTCTGTTGTTTCTATTTTAAGTCCATTTCCACTGCTTTTCTACATTGATACTGCAGCTTGATACACAGAGTTCTCAAGAGCTTTTAAAAGTATGAAAAATTCAACACCAAGATCTGACGGCGTATTGGACAAGCGAAAGATGCATTCTAAAAGCTAAGCAAGATGCTGATAAAAAAAATCGTTAGAAAGAAGAGTGCTGGATTATATGGCAGTAAATACTGGACTCCTATGGATAAGGATAAAACTAGAGGCGGCAAAAGTGTGGTTCTACAGAAGGATACTGAGAAATCCATGGACGGAGTGAGTAACCAACAAGAAAGTCTTAAATAAAATCTAAACAGAAAAAAAACCCTTATACTCAGTATCATGAAACGACAACTGAACTTCTTTAGATGCCTAATGAGAAAAGAGGGTTTAGAAAACTTAACTCACACGGGGCATATTTTGAGCAAGAGAGATAGGGGAAGGCAGTGAGGACCACTTACCTGTCGAGCTTGTGTGAATGAATGGTGGTATGAAGTGAGCAGTAGCCTGAGTAAAGGTAGAAAACTGATAAGGGCCATGAGTGACAGGAAGTTGGAGAGAAGTACCATCGCCTATGCCCTGAAGTGACGCAGCACATAGAAGAAGCGACGCAGTGTATTTAAGATGGTGACTGCAGAATTTATCAAAACTGTAACTGAGGAAAAATGTATTTTGGGGACATTTTCAATGTGGCTATTTTATTGGCAGCATAGACGATAACTCAAAAAATGTAGGCACACTTTGAATATACATAGGTTTCCATATTGTGTTTAAACTTATAGCCGTTTTTGGTCCAGACACTGCTTAAAATGTGGACACTAGAATCGCAAATATTCCAAATCACTTTGTATCTGGGCATATTTTATTTCAGTTTCGGCATTCTTTTCATTGCTTATTGTCGATATTTCGCGATGAACATTAGCTTTGAAGTTTTCTCATAAAAAAACGAGTCTAAATGATGGCGGTGGGTAGCCATTCAGTCCATCTGTTCGGCAGATTTTCATCAAGATAGGGTTTGACGACAAGACGATCAAGATAATCTGAACTAATCTCATAGATGAATGTTGAAATAAAATTTTTATAATGTACGCTTTTCAGAATACGGCAGACACTCGATTTTGAAAGCTTATCAAACAGATTTTATTTATAGTTTGTTATCGCCTCCTACATAGTTTACGGCCGTATCACGTTGAAACACCGCTTCCCGTACGATCACCGAGGTTAAACAACGTCGAGCCTGGTCAGTATCTAGATGGGTGACCACATGGGAATATCGGGTGCTGTAAGTTTAGAAGTGCGGGTGGTGTAACGGATAACGGCCCGAGATTGTTAATGAGGAGAGCCGAATTCCTATTCCAGTTGGGTTCGTTTTCAGTTTGATGTATTTTTAATCGGTATCATCCTATGCAAGGCAGTAACACCATAAGGGGCTACAGAGTGTGAAAGAATTAGAAAAAGAAACATTAATAATGAGTGGAAGAAAAAAAAAGTAATCAGGAGGACAGTAGATAGAATTAATATTGCATTTAAAATTTTGTAGATTAAATTTGGCTGGAATACATGTCTTCCCAACATGATTTTTCATAACATTGTATGGTCGATTTGCCTGGATTTCCCTATCATTCTGAACGCTGAAATTACAGACGATTGTATGATAACCTCTTCATTCTGTGCAGCTTTTGGTGGTTTACGTTGTCACCAATTCTTTTTGCGAGGGAGGTTGAATGCGCGGCATATTGACTGATATATGTACTGAGTAAACCTGTTATTGCAAGTACACTATCACTTCCAGATATTATATGGTCAGTTGTCTCTGGGAGGGAGTTCCAAAAGCGAGAGGTACGAGAAAGGTAACTGTTAACATAGAATTTACGGTTACATATCGCCTGCTCAAGTGTAACTTGCTGAGATCTCGACGTCAATCTAGTACTGCGCTTAAAGTTAAAGTCTAGGTATAATAACGAAGAGCGATATTTATTTCTGCTATGTACAAAAAAAATGTGGCACAAGGTCAAAAAGGGGAATGGGGAAAAGGATTGTCTTCATCTGTCTTAACAATAAGAACTTAGCTAGCCACAAACACTGACTCAAACATACCACAATATTCCTTACACCAAAACAACGCATTCTTACTTACCTTTCTTACTACACCCACCATAATACCTCATTGTCTCTATGAAAGTCATAACTAGTGCCCATATGTACAAATCATTGTCTGTGGTGGGAGAGGAATAAAATAACAATAGCGACGATCTCATCCAAACAATTACTAAGAAAGTATTTATTAAAAAGGCAAAGGGCGGCAACCTCTTACAGAGTTATGATATAATTCCCATATCAGCTCCACGGAGAGAAACTTTTTTATATACCAAAGGTCACTTAATACAAAGCTCGAGTGTCATCCTAAGTAGAGGGTTACTGTTAAAATAGTTATGATGAATGATTTGCTTGTATGTTTGTTTATCGGCATATCAACTCCTTATGGGTCATTTAATGTCGAAATTTAATTTTCTTGGGAGTAGTAATATTTTTTTTTTTGCAAAATAGTATTACTGATTAGTTTTTTTTTAAATGTTAATTTTTTTAAGTATGAAAATGTATTGCTGGTATTTTTACTATAAAAATGTATTTTATACCTTCATAGTGTTTTCACCCCGCAACAGGTGCTACCACTCCGGGTCAAGGTGGACCTGGGAAGAATAGAAATTAAGAGGTGGTTTCATGCCCCTCAAAAACTCCCGATCAGAGGCCTTGCTGGCGGATGTATTTCATCATCATACCCAGGAGGTTATGATAAATGAAGTGTGTGATATGAATGGAAGAGGAGGCCGAAGGAAGGGAAGATTATGAGGATAAGGAGAATAGATAAAGATTAACCCTTGACTTGAAGGGGTTAAGATTGCCGTGTCCAGGGAAGCACTCACGTGGAATCGGTTTCCAAAATTGGTTGTCCTTCGGAGAATTCTCTCTGGAGGCATCTTTCTTATATTTGGAACGCGAGGGAAACGAAAATTGATTCTATCCCGTGAAAGTAGCATGGTGTTTCCAAGCTGGTAACTAGGGCGGCTGGTCAATCCCTGTTGCAAACGCCTGCTCTGGCACATTTGTGTTTGCTCAACACCCACAGATCCCACAGGGGGGTTTGTACTTCCACTATGCCGAGCGAACCTTATTTACTCTTTGTGGGAGATAGCCAATACCCAAAACGGGAATTACTGCCGATTCGAATTAATATATATTTTTCAAAGTACACAATTTGAAAGGTTGTTAAGCGGGAACCTATTATTATTAAAAAAAGGTTATATATACAATGTGACGCAGATAGATAAGGAATGTTTACGTGGCAACCGCACCGTGACGTCACAGCGTACCGAGGTTTGGAGAACGCCAGTAGAAAGTACTATACCTCAATAGTTATCTGGCCATTAACGCACGAGGTGCTTAGTAATCGACATATTTTCAGAATACAATCGTCGAGATGCTGTTGGGGAGAGTTTTTGTGCCGGCTACAGAGCTAAGAAAATCATTGAATGATAAAACCATGTATCTACGTATCGTAAAACCATGATCTACGACCTTGAAAATTACCTGGGGTCTCAAACGTCAAAGACAATTTCAGGCCTAAATACAAGACTTATAAAAAGTGTTCTGCTGTCATCGGGACACTTGAGATCGTCGCCGATGTTGCCGAGGCTGTCAAGGGGAACCCCAGCAAAAGCATGAGGAAAATCACCAATGAAATTGGCACCAGAAGTCGAACAATCGGGTGTATTGTAAAGGAGGCCTTGAATTATAATTCTTATATGCTCAAGGGGCGCCATTTGCTCACCGTGCCACTGGACGCCTGACTTGTACCCCCAACCCATGTTGCCAGACTGTAATCCTCTCGACTATTTTGCCTGGGTCATCTTGGGGAGAGAGGTGAACAGTAGTCCGTACAACAACAAAAAGGTTTTCAAGGCAGACACCAGGCACGCCATGGTCAACATGGACAGGGACGTCCTCGCTAAGGCCTACTTCAGTTTCCGGTCTCATCTAGATAAAATGTTGGCTGCTAATGGGGGCCACATTAAATTATTTTCCAATCCTTATATGTGTCTAACTCTGTATAAAATTTTATTGAAATATATTAATTTGTTATATAAAAAATGCTGTTTTATTTTCCATTAATTTTTCCGGATTTCTGCGACGAACGCACACACACACATTTGTGTATTTAGGCATCAATCCTTCTTTTATGCACATTTCACTGAATACGACAGACAAGGTGCTTTGATTTAGTTTTTTTATACAATTTCACATGTGATCTAATTTTTTTTTTCTTTTTGGCTGATAAATTATATAAATCTATCCAACTGTTCTTTTTTATCAGATCGCTTTCAACAATACATTTAGGTTGAAATATACTAACTGTTAACAAGAAATAGATTGTTTTATGTATGTATTTATGTAATGTTTTCATTTTCAAAACACGGTCAACATATTGTGTCCATGTTTATAGTTGATATTATTAAGTGTTGTTTTTTTTGTTTTTATTAATAAGTCTTCCGTTATTTTTTTAGTCTTTTTTGCATATAGATGATGCTATTAAATTTATGTTGTTAACAAGTATGTTACGAACAGGGTCCAGTAGATCTCCATGAATATTTAAATGAGACATAATTGAGTTATGGTCAGAAAGGTGTAGTGTAAGTCTTCTTGTCAAACATGTTGTGGTGTGGCCAATATAATTATTTACGAATTTTGATTGATCAGTAATACAATTCCTTAATGGACATTTAAATTCGCAAATAATATTTCTCTTATTTAATTTTGTTCTAAGAGGTAAATTATTATTCTGAACTATAAGGTTACAGGTTTTAAATCTTTTGTAATAAATAATTAATCTAATTTTTTGATATTGTCAACTGGTGTTGTGTATTTTTTTTTATAATCTTCTTAATTCTAGTTTCGTCTTGTTTGTAATTTTCGTTCATTTGATTTTTATAAAAATATATATATATGGTGGTGGACGACACACTAAAAATAAATAAAACCATAAAATATATATGTGTGTGTGTTTGTGTGTGTGTTTGTGTGTGTGTGTGTGTGTGTATATATATATATATATATATATATATATATATATATATATACACACACACACAAATAAACACTTTATAGATCTTGTCAAAGTGAACAATAAAAACGATTATCAAGAATTTTCTGTCGTCATTTTTCATTTTATTCTTTTCATAAAGAAAAGCCTTTGAAGTAAAAAAAATGTTCGTGTCTTTGAATGTAATTATGGCTAAATTTGTACAAGTCAAAGGCTTCCAAATCTCTCCCGACACATGACGCCTAAGTAACCTCAAAAGAAAATGAAGTGCTGGACCAAATATTTACAAAGCAATTTCGCAAGATGATAGTCATCGATAGATGACATCCAAGAAATTTATTTATATATATATATATATATATATATATATATATATATATATATATATATATGTATGTATGTGTGTGTGTGCGTGTGTGTAATAACTAGATTAATAGACCAATCGATCAAGCTACAGCTTAAAGCACGTAGATATTTCGTATTTAGCAGGCTATAAGATACGCTTTTTTTCTTAAAATTATTTTGGTTATTTCTGCCAGACAATTTATTCGGTGCCCCGAGATGAGAAAGAGAAATCTTGCATACATATTTGATAAATCTTTTAGGGGAAATGTATATTTATGTATATAACCAGTACTACGATTTGTATAGTTAAGTCATCAATGTCTCAACCTGCTCCTCGGCAAGATTTTCTGATAAGGAGGTTGATAGGACGCCCAGTAGCATTATAAACAAGGTCCGTCAAAGAGCGGATGAGCCTTCTTGTGGTATCCCCAGCCATCTAGCACAATGGGGTAGTATAGGCTGCGTAGCTATTTATGTAAATACTGCGCTGATGACACAGCATTGTTTGGAAAGGTCTTTCTTAGACTTGCCAACCGACAGGGTAAAGGGTAGACCCAATAAAAGCAATGGCTTCTTGTGCGTGTCCAAAGTTATCCTTCAAATTGGAGGACATCGGCTGTAGCTTGACTTGAAGAAGGATAGACTCTGTCAATTTAAGCAGTCAATTGCTGATACCTTCTGACGAGTGGACAGAGTGATTCCCAAAAGGTCCGTCTTCGAAACTTTGGGGTCGAGATGTCAATTGTTAACATGAATCATCTAAGTAACCAAACTTTTATATATATATATATATATATATATATATATATATATGTGTGTGTGTGTGTGTGTGTGTGTGTGTGT